GATTTAAAATTATGATTTTGGTGGTCCCTGAGATCCAAAAGGTTGGCAGCCCCTGTTCTAGACCCCAATTCCCATCGTGCACAACGGCATGATCTGAGGATGACAGGAGTGCTTAGAGAGGAAGGCTGGCATGCAAATGCTTAAAATGAAACAATTAATAAAATAAATGCAACCAATAAGACATTTTCATGCCGAATATCTGTCCTCTTTGTTTAGTTTTCTCACGCCCAGTTGGGGCTTGGAACCATCTCCGCTATGCGACAGATGTTGCAAGAAGCTCTCGCCAAGCCGCCTGTATATATATTTATACGTATTTTATTTTAAATGGGCAAATAAACTCTTTCCAGCCGGCTGGTTAGAAAGTTAATGAAGCTGGCTATAATTATACCCAGGGCCTCATTTAGCCAGAAACAGGTGGCTGCTAAAACCGAGGGTTGTTTTTAAGGGGTGGGGAAAAAAAATTGCATTATTATCCTTTTGCAGAGTTTGGGAGCTGAGATGCTGCCCAGAAAGCGTCTGGGACCCCTAAATTCTGCCCCTTCCTTAGGGCGGGAAGCCCTTCTAACCGAGTCTTCCAGCCCTAGAGAAATTGTATCAGCCCCACTCCCGCCCCTTTTAAGAAGGATCTTTGGGGAAATCAAAATTTTGGTGCAAAACTGACTGCGGTGTTGCCTGCCAAATTTGAACGGGCTTGCAAGATAACTTCCACACTATCTGCGCCAGCTGCTGGATTCCCGGCAATGAATAAATAATAATTAAATAAGGTTTTTTTTTTTAAAAAAATCCCAATTTTAAGATATTTGAACACCTTTTAAGAGAAATCTGTGTTCTATCTTAAAATTGGTTTTTTTAAAAATAAAACATTTAATAATCTCTATTCATTTTAATATTTGTTCGTATGGGGTTTGCAAGCAGATAGCGACAGGCAGTACATAAATTTAATAAATTCATAAAAATTGGTAGGAAGATACTAGCGGATTCAGCATCTGAAGAATTGGAAGGTAAACAAGCACACATTTGCTCACAATTCTGACACACAACCAAGAGACAAGAAATCAGTTGTCAGTCAGCCAACTGCAGAAATGCAGGAAACAGGACCAGTCTCTTTTTAATAGAAGTAGTCCTCAACTTACAGCCACGAGACCAACATGCCTGTTGCTAAATGAGACGTGCATTAAGAGAAAATTTCCCCGTTTTATGACTGTTCTTGCTGCATTTGTTAGGGAATCACTGCCGTTGTTCACTTAGTGACACCGTTGTTAAGTGAATCTGACTTTCTGCATTGACTTCGATTGTCAGGTCTCAAAAGGGGATCACACAACCTCCCCCCCTCCGGCGACACGGCAACCGTCATAAATACAAGTCAGCTGCCAAGCCACTGAATTTTGATCACGTCGTCATGGGAATGCTGTTAACGGTAATTAACAACTGGTCCTAAATGGCTTTTTCAAGGGACGTATCTTTGAACGGTCACTAAACAAACTGTTGTAAGTCGAGGACTATCGTCTGAACCGAAGAAGAATCAGTTGTGAGTCTCTGAAGCTGCCATTCAGACAACCGGAGAAATGCCGGCAACATGGCTAGTCCTGTTTTCAATATAACCCAGGTCGTTGTTATCATGTGAACACATCCACCCCGTCTCCTGCTTGGGCAGGGGTGGGGGGTTGGACTAGATGCCCTACAAGGTCCCTTCCAGCTCTGATTATCTGTTATCCAGCTAATTCTAGGCAGAGTTTTTGCACCATCAGGATCGGCAGTTGTGCAAACACCTTCTCACAACCTATTTGGCTCTGCCAGCAGGGCTTCCTTCTCCTCTTCCTTCTAATTGTTCCTTTCTTTATGTTGAGCCAATTTTTTTTTTATTGTTGTTGCTTTCGTATTTTTTTATACTGTAAGTCACCCAGGGGCTTTGGATACCAGATGGGCAGAAAATAATTTTTTATGAATAAACGAAATAAATCAGGAAGAATAAGGGAAACGTTAAAAGATGCACATCTGGCTCCTCGGGATCTTAGATCCGAGGTGTGTCTCCAATCAGGAATTAATGCTGTGGGCTCTGCAGAGTCATATAGAGGCATGTTTCTCTACCTTGGCTATTCTAAGATGGGTGGACTTCAACTCCCAGAATCCCCCCAGCCAGCAGAGCGATCCCTTCCTCTACAATCTCTCCATTTTAGAGGGTAAGAGAAAAAAGAAACAGACACGGCTGGCTGGGGGATTCTGGGAGTTGAAGTCCACCCATCTTAAAATGGCCAAGGTAGAAAAATACATCCTTCCACGACTTGAACCCGTCCCGTCGTTCAAGACTTCAACTCCCAGCATTCCCAGCGGGTTTTTTAACAATTTTCAACTCTCATTTACGGGGGGTGGGGGTGGGGGGTGTGGATGCTTGGCAAATGACTTGTATTTACGACGGTCGTGGCATCCCTGCTTTTGCAACCTTCTGACTTACGACAGGGGGAGCCCGATTCACCAAAGTACCGCGTTACTAGTTCCACAAGTGGGGCGATTCACTTAACGGCAGCAAGAAAGGCCGTACAACAGGGCAAGACTCACTTAGCAACTGTCTCGCTTAGCCCCGGAGATTTTGGGCTCCACCGTGGTCGTTGAGGACGACCCGTAAATAGCGTGCGAACCCCAGAAAAAGAACAGCGCCCCCTCCCCCCCCAAAAAACCCCAACCTCCCTAAATGTCTCTATCCGGATGACAAATGGACTGGAACGGGGGTTGGACTAGATGACCTACAAGGTCCCTTTCGTTAATTGCTATCTGCAACTGAACAGCCCTAATGTTGAAGTATTGATTTCGGGTGGTCTGCCCCCCCCCCCCCCCCGCCCCACTCCAACTAAACCGATGGATCGACCCATTGCACCGCCGGAGCCACTGAGGCCAGGCGCGCTGCCACTCACCGCCGCCAGGTGTCGCCTTCGGGCCGGCTTCGACGGCGGCTCAGCAGCCCAGGCCGCTCTTGGTGCCGATGCGGTCGAGCGGGAGGCCGAAGCAGCTCTTGAAGGTCCGCCCTTTCTTCGGCGGCCTCTTCACACGACGCCAGGCGCCGCCGCCGCCGCCGCCGCCGCCTCCTCCACCGCCGCCTCCTGCGGGGTACTCGGGGTACGCCAACCGGCCCCAGGTGTCCCGCGACTGTCCACCGCCTCCTCCTCCTCCTCCTCCTCCTGCGGGGTATTCGGGATACGCCGACCGGCCCGAGGTGGGGCGCGACTCCTTGATGTCGCGGCGCAAATCTCGCATGAGCCGCGAGGCAGCCGCCGACACCGCCGCCCCTTTGCCTTTCGGCGGCGTCGGGGCTGCATTGCCCGCCTTGGAGCCGCTGCGCCCAGCCGCGGGACCCGAGGACTCCTCCGCCGGCGGCTCCGGCGGCTGCTGCTCGGTCAGGTCCCGCCGCGACGCCGTCGTGCCGCCCGCCGGAGCCTGCAA